AGTTGGTGTTATTAAATTGTGTTTTATGCAGGTGGAAATTTTGGGGAATGTTCAATTTACAGGGGAGACTCTGCCAAATTTTCGGCAGAAAGTCTCGTGCCTCTACTCCTTATTGAAAAAAGAGGTTACAGTCTTGTGAGTGGGCCCGACATCGGGGTGATGTCGGGGTTTCCACAGGATTCGATTGGGTTCCGGGAAATTCGGGGCGGGTCCTGTCACCATTTAATTGTTTTGATGCTTGAGTTGACGATAGGAATATCCAACCTAGGATTTTGTTTCTAGTAATTGATACCACAAATTACTTGAGTGAACTGGAAGGTTAATCGAGGCTTGTGTGGTTTCCATAAATTTCCATAGAACTTAATGGGTTTCTACTTCTTAGTTCTTCATCTAGGCATAGAGTGGGACAGTTGTAGGAATACTTTTGGTATAGACCGGCATGTCATATTGAGGAAAATTTACCATTAACATGGATAATAATTAGAATTGACTGGCTACAGGAATAGGGTAGAATTGGCTATGGTGAAATTAGAACCCTAGTGCTCATACCATCAGTGTTTGCTGAATTTTATTATTGTTTTTGTTAGTTAATTCTTGTTAATTGCTTATGTAATTCAAATCAAAGTCTCACCATTTGAACATCCAGATAAAGTTTTGGATTAATCATAATCAGTATTCAGCTAATTAGTCTTGTCTTTGCGGAACGATACGCATTTACCACTACACTATTTTGCTACGATTTTGTGCTCTACAACCTCGTTAACAAATACCACCATACTTTTATTGATTGCTTAAAAATTCTAATTGAATATAACTAGACTTTTAAGCTTCAAAACAATTTATTAAAATCCTAATTGAAATTTTATTTTTTACAACGCAATATATTAGTTTTAAAAAAGAAAAGCAAGAAAGAAAACACGATCAGGAAACTTGCAGTGCAACGGCTGCCCAGGCTCCTCCGACTCCATGGTGGACACCTTCGATGTCTCAATAAAGAATAGCTAATTTGAGTGTTATGAGTTTTCTTGTTCTTCTTACCCACCTTTGATACTTTCTAATATGAAATTTGAATTTGAATGATTGAGGAACCCGTATTTGAAATCCTTGCTTTTCTTGTTATTCTTCACCTTTGATTCTACATACTATTGAGTTACCAACCCAAAAGGGCACAATCTGGAAATTTTCCCTAGGCCTTAGAAAACCAAGGACTGCCCTTGATAAACAAACCCAAAAGTATAATGACTTAAACTACCAATGAAAATAATAATGACTTAAACTACATTATAAATTAATTAACTTTTAGTCTAGTAATGTTTTTATTCTCAATGCATAGAGAAATCTCGAGTTTAAATTCTCCGTCTACTAAATTAAATATAAAAAAGCACATAGAAAAATTATTTTCTATTTTTTTTAAAGCCAAATGGCATATATAAGGATCATAACGACTTACTTATTAAGTGCCCAAATAGATGGATCCCAAGTATTTGCATTTAGTATCGGTGCATTTACACGAATTAAAAAAATTCTTAACCATTTAATTGATCTAATGGAATTTCATTATTCAACCTCATCATAATTGTATTAGATTAAAACTCCTCCTTCTGCACCGTATAACTCACCCATCTCTTCCTCTCCCTTGCAGCTGCTTGTTCTTTATAATTGGAAATTTAAGTTTCGAGTTGAAGAAAAGATACTCAAAATCCAAGTTTTACTATTCTTTGTTCATTTGTTTTATTGTTATTGTTTGTGTGTTTTTATAAAAATTAAAAAACTTACCTAATAAAATTAATTTATTGATAATTTTTTGTTGTTGTAATTTTAGTTTTTAATTTATCTAACGGGGCACACCCTAGAAATTTTCCATGGGCCTTAGAAAACCCAGGACCAGCCCTGATAAACAAACCCATAAGTATAATGACTTAAACTATCAATGAAAAAAATAATGACATAAACTACATTATAAAATTAATTAATTTTTAGTCTAGTAATGTTTTTATTCTCAATTTGTAGAAAAATCTCGAGTTTAAATTCTGAATCTATTAAATTAAATATAAAAAAGCACATAGAAAAATTATTTTCTGTTTTTTTAAAGCCAAATGGCATATATCCGGATCATAACGACTTTTTTATCAAGTGCCCAAATAGACGGATCCTGAGTCTCTGTATTTAACATCCGTGCATTTACACGCATTTATAAAAATCCAAACCATAAAATTCATCTAATGATTTTAATAAATCCACGTCATCAAAATTGTATTAAAGTAAAAACTAATTATTTGCACCTTATTATGTCCCCAACAAGCCAGTGCCACACTTACCTTACACTGCCAGCCATCGTTGCCACCTCTCTCTCTCTCTCTCTCTCTCTCTCTCTCTCTCTATTTGGGATGAGTGGCTCTCAACAAGGCCTAGGAACTGATTATCATCAAATTCTAATATTTAATACTATACTGTTTCAACAGCAAAAATAAACCTGCAAAATCATAAATGAAAAATGTGCAAAATAAAGAGAAGGAATTCTGATATACAACCGTATTGTCTTATTCGGAAGACAAAGTAAAGAGAGCGATATGCAATTCAAGAAGCAACAGTGTCTATAATTTAAAAAATTAATACATTAAAAGAGATAATTTATTAGTATGAGACATGTCGAATTGGATATCAGTTTTTGAATCAAATTCAAGGTTTTGGTAATTAGAAAAATGATTTAATTGTGGGAGAGAAAGGGGAAAGGCTGCGCATCAGTATGGGAGAGGAAGAGATGAGTAAGTGATAACGTGCAAAGGGAGGAGTTTTAATCTAATACAATTATGATGATGTGGAATAATTAAATTCCATTAGATCAATTAAATGGTTAGGATTTTTTTAAATACGTATAAATGCATCGATACTAAATGTGGAGGCTCGGAATTTCAAATAGACACATGTGTAGCTATCATAGACTTTATTAGGGTTGGCGACAAACAATGCTGATTAAATGTTTCCAAGTCTTCACTTGTGCATCAGTTCAAGATTAATGTCAATTTCAACCAACATTTATCTTGTTCAAGTCTCAATAGTCTCTACCGATCAAAAAAAAAATCTCAATAGTCTCTTGTTTTACTTAAAAGACCTTCTCACTATGGCCAAATTAAAATTTCTGAATTATCACGATATTAATTGTCTTTTCAAAATATGTGTAGTCAATTCGGGGAAGATTCTATACAAGACCGACCTTTGCAGGTCCTGAGATGATTCTGGAAGCTGCCTGGCGGATCCAGAAATTTTTTAGCAGAGGTGCAATATTGACTAAGTATGAAAATGATTTTTCGGAATAATCATTTTCTCAAGATAATTTTTGGCGGCTTTTATTCCTTAACATCAACTAAGAAAACTTGATTTTATGGGATTTTAGTATGAAGTATATATTGACTTAATGAGCCATCATTTTTAGCCTAAATCATATTTTGCACTAAAACCGAATTGTCATATTTTTATTTGGTGGGAATTTGATTTTCTAATATTTTTATTTGAATCCAAATGAGGGGTATTTCCTTATTTACATTGTAAACTTAAGTAAATGGAGTAATATAAAAATAAATAAAAGTAAAAAGACAAAGATATTTACTTAAATGTTGAAAATGGAAATAAGGTAATCTGTACACCAGTTGAGCAAATGGGCAATTTGAAGCACCTACAATGGTTTTTCCGGCGAAGGGAGGTGCAGCTGCACCTCCTTGCGCCTTAATAGATTCGCCCCGCTACACCTCCAAAGGCCCGGAGAGACAGAGCGAAAGAGAGAGAGAGAGGGATTTGGATTTGGATTTTTTATTTTTAAGTTTATTTATTTATTTAATTTAATTTTTTTCTTCACTTTTTTCAGTTTTTTTCTTTAATTTTTAAAATTTTAAAATATTTTAATTTAGATGGATGGTTTTAGCCCTCAAATTAACAGCCAAATTGATGCAAAGACTCAATTGGAACTATTTATCGAGTTAACGGATGTAATTGCTCAAAAAAAAAGTTCACTGACCCAATTGCAAATGGGGGCCAAGTTTAAGGATGTCTACAGTAAATAACCCTAAAGCATAACCATTAACAATCCAAGTTTGCTTGTTTTCTTTCCAAATTTAATGTGCTTACATAAAAATCAGAATCCATCATTAAAAAAAAGTATAAAACCAGTAATCTTTTAACCCACTTGCGAGAGACTTTATGCAACGAGAATTATTCTTATCAAAACAGGGTTTGAAAATTGAAACAGGGACTTATCAATATGACTACTGTGCCTCTTGTTTCTTTCTTTCCAAGTCAAATGACAACTGTACAAAACGTGAGTTGGATTATTGACATTTCTCAATCAATACACGAACTCGTTTTATGAGTAATTATCGGAAAGATCAAAGTAACAATTTTAAACTCTTCTTCATGCCTCTTGATTATTGATGTGCGATGAGAATTCGAACATGAGACCATTAGTCTGCAAATCTATTCATTTTTTCATTAGGCTAAACTCCATTCCCTTGTGCCTCTTGGTTCATTTGTCCTAGTTTGTATGGTTCAATGTCAATCCAACAAGTTCTGTTGTATCATTCATGGGCGACAGCATTTTTAACTTTAGTCTCGCATATTAAAAGGATGACATAACATTGCAGCCTGCGTTTACTGTAATTGGTTGCTTAATATTTAATTTTTTCTTGGTGCAAGTTGCTTGATATTTATTTTGATACTTATGACAAATGAATCGACCAATCGTATCAAAAAATAAAAAAGAGAGAAGAATCGACGAAACCGGGGACTGTGGTCCAATACCAATACCACCACTAATCCTCGTATTTCTGTCTTTTTTTCTTTTTGTGGTAATAGGGGAAACCAAAGAGACTACACAGAAACAAATCTAGGCCTCAAGAAACCATTCTTATCATCATCTAAAATAGACTGCATCTGATCAGGAGGAGTCATTCGCTAACCAGAAAGATGACAAAACCACTAGTCCTCCAATTCTATAATCGAGCAACTTTCTATTTTTATTTAGTTATGTAGTAATCATCAATGAAAATTAATCTGATTGGAGACTCGCTAAACCAGCCTGTAAAACCAGGGACTAAATTCCTAACAACTGAAATCAAGGAATGGTTTTGGTTTTGCCATTGGTAGTAACAATTGTTGAGAAGTCTAATATTCTAGGACAACATCACACAGCAATATCCTTAATCTATTAAATTAGACTAATTCAGCCTCCTCTTTTCTTTATGGGATGATGTATAAATACCTACACATGCTGTCTTTATTTCCAACCACACCAAAAACTTAACACTACTACATACTACAAAGCTTTCTCAGAGTTTCAATTTCAAGTTCTTAGCTGCATTCATTGGATTCTCAGTAACCAAGAGAAGGAAGAATGTCTAATTCTAATACTGCTGGACAGGTCATACGCTGCAGAGGTATCATACTCTAACCAACCATGTGTAGACAAATTGATGGCTTGTCTATTTTATAGAATCATCTTGCTTGCTGTTTTTTTTTAATGTTTCTGGGATTTATTGAGTAAAGGGCTTTTGGTTTTGGTTTTGTTTATGTAGCTGCTGTAGCATGGGAAGCAGGGAAGCCACTGGTGATTGAAGAAGTTGAGGTAGCACCACCACAGACAAATGAAGTTCGTTTGAAAATCCTTTATACTTCTTTGTGCCATACTGATGTCTACTTCTGGGAAGCCAAGGTGCTTTTTATTTATTATTTATTATTTTATATTATAATTATTTTTCTCCTAAGCAAGATTTCTTTATGATCATGAAAGCCAAGAACCAAATATAGCACACAAAATCTGAATTGGGTTTTCTATATTGCAGGGACAAAACCCTTTGTTTCCTAGAATTTATGGTCATGAGGCAGGAGGGTATGTAAATTTCTATCAAACTTGTTTTCAATTTAGCAGAAGCTAGGAAACATATAGTATGGTGTAACATTAACTTATGTGGATTTTTTTGGTGTTTACAAATTAGGATTGTGGAGAGTGTTGGTGAAGGCGTGACGGATCTTAAAGCCGGCGATCATGTCCTGCCTGTGTTCACAGGGGAATGCAAGGACTGTGCTCACTGTAAATCAGAAGAGAGCAACATGTGTGATCTCCTCAGGATAAACACTGACAGGGGAGTGATGCTGAGTGATGGGAAATCAAGATTTTCAATTAAAGGCAATCCAATATATCACTTTGTTGGGACTTCCACCTTCAGTGAGTACACTGTTGTTCATGTTGGCTGCCTTGCCAAGATCAATCCCTTGGCTCCTCTAGACAAAGTCTGTGTCCTTAGTTGTGGTATCTCCACAGGTATGCATATATACAAGTGTGATTGGAATTTTGCTTAATGTTTAATTGGAATTTATTTTTTAATTATCTGGATATATGTTCAGGTCTGGGAGCTACTCTTAATGTTGCAAAACCAAAAAAGGGATCAACAGTTGCTGTTTTTGGATTGGGAGCTGTAGGCCTTGCAGTGAGTCTCTCCTATTTCTTGCTATCTGCCATATATTTATATATGTGACACTTTCACTGCTTGTTTAAGTGTATGTTTATGTGTATGATGGAAAATAAATGTATAAATGGTTTTCTGATTCAGGCTGCTGAAGGAGCCAGGATTTCTGGGGCTTCAAGAATTATTGGTGTTGATTTGAATTCCAGCAGATTTGAAGGGGGTGAGATATATAATTCCTAAAAGTAATTGTTTATTTCTGGGAAAGTATCTGGCATTTCAGGATATATACTTGACTTGCAATAAGCCTCCTTTTATCAGAAAAGAGAACAATGCATAAGAAGTAGATGTGTTTTCTGCTTCTATATTTTGACTTTCATGTTTGCAAATGTTCTCCATGTGTCTCTGAGTTTTAACTTGATTGTTTGCAGCAAAAAAGTTTGGCATAACCGAATTTGTGAACCCAAAAGATCACAAAAAGCCAGTTCAAGAGGTTTGTTTGTTACTGGCATGGATTTCTTTTTGTACATTGTTTCCCTTCTACCTCCTTAAACATGTTTCTAAAGAGCTTTTCTTATGGATTGCTTATTAGGTGATTGCTGAGCTGACCAATGGAGGAGTGGACAGAAGCATTGAATGTACTGGAAATGTTGAAGCCATGATATCTGCATTTGAATGTGCCCATGATGTATGTTCTTAATCCTTTGGCTCCATGTTTCTCTCTTTTAAGTTTCGATGTGATCTTGTTATGATGAACACAAAAATTCTATTCCAGGGTTGGGGTGTTGCTGTTCTTGTGGGAGTACCACACAAAGAGGCTGTCTTCAAGACGCATCCCGTGAACTTTCTGAACGAGAGGACTCTCAAGGGTACCTTCTTCGGAAATTACAAGCCTCGAACCGACATTCCCTCTGTTGTGGAGAAGTACATGAATAATGTAAGCTAGCTAAAGCTGAAGCTAATTTTCATTGATGCTCTTCTTCCAATTTTATGTTATGAGTTGCTGTGTAAGTGCTACACTAGTTTTAGTTTTATTTATGCACACATCAATTGAACTGTAAACTCCACTATGTTGCAGGAACTTGAGCTGGAAAAGTTCATCACCCACAAGGTCCCATTCTCAGAAATCAACAAGGCATTTGATTACATGCTTAAAGGGGAAGGTCTTCGATGCATAATCCACATGGAGGAATGAAAGCTTCATCCTTGATGTTTGTGCCCGCACATTCTAATTTTCAATTTTTTTTTTCTCCTCTTTTCTTTTTAAAAAAATTTCAAATTTGGTCTGCATGTAAAAGTGTGCGAATCTGTTTTTGTTTTTGTTTTGTTTTGTTTTTTTCATACTGTTTATGTCTGAGCTTCTGTTGGACAGTTGCTGTGTATATATTCAATGAATAAATAAATAAATAAATAAATTTATTCAACCTCCTTGCCCCTTGATGTGTACAGCCTTGAACATGCGCTCAATTTACAGTATCTGTTGACAATTTTGAGCAGCCATATTGATCAATGTGTAGGAGAAAGAAATCTCTATCAAGTCTAGCTAAAACCAGTGAAACAACAAATTAAAACCCTGTGTTTCACCAGCAAACTAAGCACATTGATTGAAGGTATCACTTCATCAAGGATGCTTTGCAAGAAGGAATCATTAACCTGACTTACTGTCCTACAAATGAGCAGCTGGCAGATATCTTCACAAAGTCATTGGCTAAAGATCGATTCTGCTATCTCAGAGACAAGCTTGGTGTGAAATCAGCTCAAAACTTAAAGGGGAGTGTAGAATTGTAAGTTGTGAGTCTGATTTGTTTTAAGCCTAGAGTGTTAATTGTGTATTCACTTAGTCCTAGAGAATAACAAGTGTAAGGCTACAAACATGTAAATACTGAAATAGCCAAGAGCTAGAATTAAGACAGATGGATGGCGAGATTCACTGATGCTTGTGTGAATCCAGCTCACTGATTTCTTACATAGAGAGAATATACAAAAGGCTTGCTCACTGATTTCGTGAGCAAGCAGAGCTGTTATTCAGAAAACGTATTCTTCATCTCTCTTCTTTTCTCTCTAACAGAACCTACACAAAACCCAGCTGAAATAGCAAACCACTAACATTTGTCACCTTGAACATATCGATTAAGAAAATCTTCGAGTAATTTTGCTAGCTTTTCTTCTCTTTCTTTCTGGACAGCCTGCAAAAAATAAATCCATACTATGGATGCTGTTATAGGTTAAAGGAAATGAACCAAGTGGATAAAAATTTGAGGAAACGATGATATCAAGTTAAAGTCACACCCAGGTAATCTCAATGGTTACACTGAATAGAAGTAGACATTGAGACATGAAAATTTGAAAAGCAGCAAATGTGCTCTAGCAGACTACCACGATCTGGTAGTCATCACGATACTCAATGCTTGCATTTAAATCCCTTGGGCTTTCTCTTTTGTCATAGACCAATTTAATTTTTACTGTATCATCTCCAAAGTTTAAGCTGTGAGACGCAACAACGATGCCATGCTTACTAAGACTACCTGAAAAAACCAAGGCATATGGCATACCGGAAGAAGAAAACAATATTTTAGTAAGATCTTCGTTTTCATCTAATACATGGAAGACACTCCATGTTTTGTCTCCAGGTCTGCATAAACCCAATGTCAACTCATCAACAACTGCTGCAACAATACAGTTCTTTGATTTAACATCCGACGTAGATAACGCGAATGAATTACAGAAAAGCAAGGCACCACCACATTTCGACTTGTTTGTGTTTACAAACTTATGGAAAGATGGAATTGTTCTCAAAGATGGAAGTTGGTGTTGGTCTCTTGAAATTGGGTTTACGAGATACAGTTTGGAGTTTAATACTTTTTCTTCATAACCAACCATCCTTTAGAACAACCACAAACCCGCCCTCCTCGAACAGGCTTAGGTAGCCTCAATGTGTGAAACTTGACATCTGAGACACTGGAAAAACTCAAGTACTTCTTGGAGGCCTGAGGGAGCAGTAACCAAGGTAATTGTGGAGCATTAGAAAAGTCTCTTCGCATAGCAAGAGAGTTCCAACACTTGCAGATGATTCTTAAGCGTATACGCTCTCTTAAATTCAAGTGCTTTAAAATAATCTCCATGATATCGTCAGGCAGTGTCTGCCGCCCCATATTATTGCAGCAACTGGTCCTTTGGCTTCTGTACTCTTTGTTTTGCTCTCTCTTGCCTCCTTTTTTGCATTGAGCTTGCTTTCCTTGAAGCAACAGAAGAGACTCTCAATCTTCATCTCTCTCGGGTTAATTTGTTTATGAAATTGAAAATCTCAACCAATAATATATATAGTCAAGTCAATAATAGGAGATTGATGGGGAGATGAAGTCTACTTGGTATTGTATTTAAATGAAAACAGAATCTTTGCAAGTAAGTAGGAATCCATTCAGAAGAGATGAAGTCTATTGGTTTGGCTTGACCTCTGTCTGTATGGCATACACTTATCTGTGAGTGTTCTTTCTTATAATTTTTTACTCAAACTATATTTTTAAATGAATAACTGTTTGTTATATTATAAATTTCTATTGCAATTTAAACATTTGCAGGAAAGTTCTGCAAGAAAGAAATGACAAAAACACAGATTCTTTCTACTTTCGGATATATGTTCTTGTATTGGGCATTTATGCAGCTTTGCGCATTGTCCTTGCACTAACTCAAGTTTCCGGCATGTCATTCACTTTCTGAGATGTCTGATAAATCCTTCTTCCAATTTTTCAAGTGGATTATCAGGCAAGTCCTATTTTGTCCGGTTTGAAATGGGGACCAAAATTTTTTTATATGGCTATGGCCATGATGGTGATTCATGTATTGTATGCTTTCTTAATTCTACATATTCCAGGAGCGTTACTTTGTTGGACGTGGCCTTTATGAAAAGATAAGTGATTATTGCAGGTTTGTGGGAATCTGGAACTTTGTATTGCTGGCTATTTGTTTAAGACTGTTGGTGTTTTGAGCTCAGTTCTTTTGTTTCATGATTGACAATGTGATCTTGCTACTAAGAATCTGATGTAGTTGAGCTGAGCTGACTTTAATTATTTTAGGATAAAGTCTTAAGTGATTTGAGTTCTTGAGTGTTCCTCGTAGTTTGGGAAAAAGGTGCTCATTCAGCAAACACCAATTCTTTAAGATAAGGGCTTAGTAGAGTTTATTTTAATTGTATGTTCTTGCCACTTGTCATTTTCTTTTTCTTTGACGCTGAGTGTCTTTCATATTATAATTGGACTATACTCTTTCTAGGTATTGTTTCTGTTAAAGGAAACTTGTATAATTGAATATTTATTATCAGATTGGACTTAGCATGGTTTAGGTGTCCAGATTATGTCAGGAGTTTAGATGGCTTTTTGCTTGTTTACAGATTTTAGTGATGAAGATTTCTCAATACTCCAGCCTGTGGATTTTGACAGCTTGGTTAAATATGATTTTCATGTTTGCCTATATATGCACGTCACTTTGTGCATTGACATGTATGCATGTCACCTCTTGTTTTGACATATATGATGGTTGATTGCCTATTTGTTTTTAAGTATTATCCCAGAAGATTTCATGATATGCGCTTCTATTCTATCTCAGAGATCTACATATATGAAAAAGTTCCTAATATCCTTTTTTTTTCATTATATTTAAAAAAATCCTAACTTCGCAAGTCTCTGCTCTTTTGGTTGGTAATCTTCATCTGCAAGTTCACTTTTACCTACTTTCTCCAGGCAAGGCTACCCCTACTCATCTCAAGTTTCAATTATGGGATATATGTTTGTTGGATTGGAGCAAGAAATTTGTATGGGTTGGAAGGGGAGATGGTGGTCGGGTAGAATTAAATTTTTAGTTTTTCTTTGGGTATACTGGTCCAAACATTCTAAAGATATTCCTTTTCAAGTGTAATTCTTCTTGATTGAGGCGAGTTTGAATTTGATGTAATATAACCTTTTGCTTGAGGGTGTAATCTGAATTCATGTATACTGCAGATTAAGCCTCTTGTTGAACCCACAAGAATTATCGTGAACCTTCCATCTTTGGAATACTGGTGGCATGATTTGGTCTCAAAAAGTGAGTTTGTCAACGTTCATTTACTCTGTGTGATCTTGTTTATGGTTAATAATACTGGGATGCTTGACATCGGCAGTCAATCCATGTATTCTGGTTGAAAGGAACAAGAAGTCTGATATTCTTGTCTTTAGGCCCCATAACTTTAGGGCACAACAATAATTGGTCTGTCATTAATTGGGGATGGCGTGTTTTGGAAAATTACCTTTACCTTCAAGATGACTTCTATATATATCGTCTGATTCACATTAAGATTATGTTAAGCCACCTTTCTCACATTTCCTATTTTTGCTCACCACCCTCATTGCACTGCATCTTCACTAGTGGTCTCCGAAAATCCATTTATGGAAGGTTCTATGGCTTGAAACTCTTGGTATTTCAAGAGACTGCACTTTAGGCGTATTACTATAAATTTAAAAATGGTAAAGCCATCAACTAGAAGTAAAATTGCACTTCGGGCGGATTTGTTGGTACTAGTTGTCTTTTGCTCCCCACATTCTGTTCTAAGTTATCCGATTGTATTTTTGAGGTTTTATTTTACTTCTAGTTGTGTTTATATTAAAAAAATTATCATGTTGATTTTCAGTAGAAAATAATTTTTAAAGCAGAAAATTTGTGTTTATTTGTGCTTAGATGGAAGGTAAAGCATAACTTTGATCTCTTTGTATGAAGCCTTCCATGTACTTATTTTTTCTACAAAATTCTTTAAATTCTTTTGTTATTTATCTTTCTTTGGTTCATTGATAGTGCTTGAAATAGAATGTTACCACATGTTATTGACGTATACTTGTGTTTTGGCAGATAACAATAATGCATTGACTGTAGCTAGCCTATGGTCTCCTGTTGTGGCTGTGAGTATCTTCTTTCTTTAGCTTCAGACTTCTTCAAAATGAGAGGATTCAGCTCTACTTCACGAAAGATGTATTATGTTAGACTGGAATGATGGATTTTGTTGAAACTGACCTTACGAATGTTGTAAATTGTGCTTCGAGTGTGATGCTTACTTTCTTGTCTTTTTCAGATTAAGGGCTTCCTCCCTTGTTACTATCTGAATCGAAATGTGTCTTAGGATGTGCATATACCCTTCATATTCTCATTTATAATATTCTTTTTCAATGGTCCAGCTGACCTCTTTTATGTTGCTAGATTGTAGAGATAGCTTCCTGATTCTAGGAAACTTTCTTGTATAAATCTCACCTATTGCTTTATGGAAAATTCATTCTGTCAAGTATTATCTTTTGCCCTAGTTTTACAGAAACGTCATCCAAAAAGTAAAAAATAAGCTATAAGGAATTCACGAACGAATAACCATCTAATTTCAAAGTGCACATGATCAAGGATTCAAACC